ACTACTGACGAAATTAAATTTGTTCAATTCAATGAAGTTTATTTATATTGTCATCGATTTTAGTAACTATTATGCGGCTATTTAAGACTTGCCGTTATAAATGATACCCGCCGTAAAGAAGTTATATGAATGTAAATACAAAAAATATCACGTAAAAAAATTAAATGAATTATAAGGAGATCCTGTATGGTAATTTTCACAGCACGCGACGAGAGATTATAGGTCTTAGTACATTTTTCTTTTTATTTTCCTACATTATGAACTGAATGCTTTTGTAGCATGTTTCATAGGTCTAGCTTTTAACGGATTATGGTAGTTGGATCGTAATATGTTTTTAGATATTTTTCGCTTTATTAACGCGCATCCTTGTGACATTTGCAAAGCTTGTAAAAATTAATTCAGATTATATTTTCAAACTCATGATTAAATGTAAATTCTGATTAAGTGAAATATATGAGGGCAGTGTAACAATGGTATTCATAATAGCTCAAGATAATTTTAAATAAACCCACAATATATATGAGCCGGCGGGATGTAATTCATGAAATTCCCTCAACTCGTCTCGGATCTTTTTCTCGTGCAACCTGTCTCTCCGTTCATTCTTCAATTGGTAAACTCTTTGAGTGAAATCGAGCGAGATATTGTGGTTTAACCACAACTACCACTGCAACCGATTTCTTTGTGGTTAACGTTAGTTTTTCATGTACGTGTCATACAATTGAACACTTTAATTCGATTTATCCAATTTTACATTGTTCTCAAGGCATCACTGAAAGATATAAAGTATTAATCGTGTTTCAATTCGAGTACTAATCTTTTCAACTCAGAGTTCACTTCAACTTCAATTTTTCCAATTTTAAAATTCAATGAAAAGCTATGGAAACCCTAGGTTCGAGAGAGCACACATATTGTGATGCCACTGCATGTTTACTCTGCATAAGTATCAAATGGAAAAAGTCAACTCGAGAGAAGAGTAGGTATAGCATGGGGGTCTGACCAGAGAACTTGGCGCGTCAGCTAAATCCGAACTTCCGCAACGAATAATTCATCCCGATCGATTCGGTATCTTTTACCTCCCTAACGAAATCTCATTCGATAGCTAACTCTCGCCGACTCTCTTGCATTCTCTCTGTGCGCGCAACTACTGTACAGCGGCGCGCGTACTACCGATGTATATATATGAATTCGCTTCTCAATAGTCATTTATATTCCTTATCCTCGCGCGATACACGGTCACGATTATTCATTGCGTCACGAAGGTTTTGTTGTTAGCGAAGCCGCGCGCCACAGATGTATTTAAAAAATGGATCTTATCTGTCTGGAATTTTTCCACGAGCTAAACGCGACGTGTTCCCTTTGCAGGCTTTCGCGGCCAAAAATACTCGCTCTGCCTCCGTGATATACATAATCTCGTATCATAACGCGCGTTTAAAGGGCTTAACTTTTTAATTGTTTTCACTGTATTAAAGTGAATACTTTTTTGTGAGATAATTTCTTTTTTCTTTTCCTATTTTAATAAACGGTTTTCATCCTCTTTTGGTATTTGTTTTGACATTTTTTTGCTGTCGCTGATATACACAGTAGGCGAGAGTTATCACTGAATCTTCACCGGTAAAAAAGCCCTTTTATTACGAGGCCACAATGTTTTACATTCATCGTTTTTTTTTATAAGAAAGCAGACATTGACGCGCGGTGACTTGCACCTACCAGTTGAAAATGAACTCTCTTTAGGGGTATACGATAAGAAAAATCAGCGAGCCCTCTTCTTCTTCTTCTCCTCTTCCCTTTCTTCTATGTTTTTACGTTTGCATGTCGCTCTTCTGGCTTCCACCTCGCTTTCATGTATAACCCAGCCAGCCAGCCAGCAGTACAGCAGTGCAAACGGAGGCGCGCGCGCACTCACGCACACTCCGACGATCTCTCGCTCTGCACACCGTGTCGTGTAGTAGAGATTGGGATGCTGCGCAATGCAAGCTCATAGTACATCGGCTCATGCTGCTGGCCAAGAGGGGTGAGCCAGTAGAGGAGGAGGTGGCAACAGAGAGAGAGAGAACGGGAAGAGAGGAGAGCTTCGCTGGCGCGCGCGCAGGTGCCCTCCCTCGTCACCGGTCTTCTTGGCAGAGTCGCTGCTGTCCGCAAGGATCGCACGCGCTCCGGCTTCGGCAGAGACCGACTAACCTCCAATCGGCCCGGAGCAACGAGTGAGCGACAAAATGCTGCTCCGGGTTGTGCGCGTTTCTATCACGTTTCTCTGCTCTCGCGATTGTATCGTTGAATTTTAAAAAAAAATTCCTCCCACGGATAACTATATCTCGTACCGTCGTCGAGATCGAGTGATCGTTACACCACGCGTTTGAGCCGTCGATGGAAAAGTACCGTGTAACTAATTCATTTTTATTCCGACGAATCGAGTGTTTTGCGAAAAAAAGTTGTTTTTGAAATTTTGTTGATCGATCGTTCGTTCACGTTTTGTAATAATCAGATTTTTATAATATCGAGTTAGAATTTAGTGAGTAAACCATTAAACGAATTCAATATTTACATGGTGCTAATTATTCATATACATCGACGAAATAGTTGTGTGATAATTACTCCAGGCATCGAGTAGATTAATCGAGTTGATGAATCAAGAAGATTTTTGTGACTTGTTGCCGAAGATTACTGGGTCTATTTTTTCTTCAGATTTTTAAAAAGATTTATTGTAAATCAAACAGGACTGCACGAAAACTCCCAATTATACCAAAGGAGTTGACAACTAATTTGAAAATATTGTCAGAGCCGCTGATTAGCTATTGTAAAACTAAACAAAACAACTAGCTAAGAATTATAAATCCTTCATAGCTCGACCGTCCGCACTGACAATAACAAAAACAAAAGAAGCAAAATACAGTGTCTTTTTTGCTGCTACCGTCTTATCTCTGACTCACGCTTGCAACTATTTCGCAAACACGTTTTGCATATTTTACTAGATTTGTTTACGTAAATTCACGCATGTGTAACATGATTACGAAAAGGTAGAAGCAGGTACGGTTAAACTAAATTTTGTGAAAACACTACAGTGAAAGAGCAACTCTCTCAGGCCAGCGGCATAAGTTACTTATGCGCTAGAGCGTGTTTTTGTGCGAGAGCCGTTACGCGTGCAAATGGGCGAGCCAAAACCCGAGGTTGCGTTCTCTAACGGCGCAGTGAAGCAAAAGCCCACGACGCTGAATCTGTCCTCCGGCACGTCCTTCTACCGTTCGAATCTGGTCAATGGCAGAGGCAGTCTGAACGATCATCGGCACTTACAATCGCTCAATAAAGGACCAAGCCTCGAGAACGATTATCAGCAGATATCTAGACTCAAGTCGGCCATCAGCACAGCCAGTCGAAGCAGCGAGTCTCAGCTGCAGGCGGTGCTACCTCTGCTCACGGGACTTCAGCAGTCAGCCAAGCAACAATCTCTGTCGAGCAGCAGTTGGTCGTCCAACTCCAGTGACCACGAGGACCCGAGAGATTCGCCACCTCCACCCACACCAGCCTCGGCTAATCCACCCAACAGTATTAGTCACGTCGTCGAGCAGCGTCAGCTCAACGGCAACCATCACGGTCACCAACCGATCGGCGGCATCGGCCAGTCGACGCGAAAATCCGCCAACGGCATCAACAGCTCCAACAATAACAGCAACAACAATCACGTCAACGTCAACGGATTTTCCCTCTACACACCACCGACCCCGATACCTGCCGTCAGCACTGCCAGCAGCAAAGTTCAACGCACGATACCAAACGGCTTGCCTCAGCCAGCCCCAAGACGATCTCACAATATCGTCGCTCCACCCTACCACCTCACAGCGATTCAACAGATCACCGCAGCTTTTGCCTCAAGTCGTGGGTCACCATCCTCATCATCATCCTCATCATCAGCAGCATCAGCAGCAGCGACCGCTGCAGTATCTTCTACCGGTTCAAGCGTTGCTTCCGCAAATTCAATCAACAATGCTTATGATACCAGCCCATTATACACATTATCTTCGACAGCAGGAGCTGCCGCTGCAACCCCAACAGCTACAGCATCCACCGCCACAAAAGCAAAAGCATCATCAACATGCTCAATACCGGGCTCAGCATCGTGGTCCGGACTCAATGGCTTGTGTTCCTCATCAAATTTCCCAGAGACAAACGTCTCCCCCGCACTCCAAAAACACAAGCGATACATCGATGTCCATCCCGAGTCGAAACCCCAACAGCAGCAACAATTGCTCGATGCGATACCTAGCCTGGCCGGACCAGTCCGCATTCGTAGCAGCGCTACCTCACCAGCAGCAGCATCACAATCGCTGCGCAATGGAGATCATTGCGTGCCCAGACGACCCCGTGCAAACGCAAACCCGACAACAGCAGCAACAATTTCTACAATCGGTGGACCATCAGGCTCCTCGTTTGCAACAGCCGCAATCATTAATTCCGCCACCTCACCGTCTTGTTCCCCTTCTGCCTCCTCATCAACAACGTGTTCTTCAACAACGTCATCAGTATGTTCAGTCGCATCAAATGGTACACAGTCTCAGCAACTGTATGGAAATGCCGCAGCAACGGCAACCACACCAGCAGCAGCTTGGAGTACTGGTGAGCATGCACCATGGGACAGCAGCAGCAGCAGCAGCACCTCAGCAGCAGCAGGCTTGGTGCCACATCAACCCGTGGCTCGTAAGGCCTACTCCACAACCCTCCCATTACATTGCCCCCAATCACCCACACCTACGAGCAAAGACCATACCCTAATTGCTACGAGTAATTCCAATACCTGGAGCTGTGGCGCATCGTTGAAAACAAGACCGCACAGTATAGCGAGCAGTCCTCAATGCAACGGAGTCTCGTCCTTGGCGATATCGTCCTCGCCCTCGGATTCTGGCTATCGTTCTCTGCCCTCGGCTTCGAGCGACTATCAACTGAAGTCGACGTCGCTGCAGCAAGCTCAAGCCGCACAAATGCGAGAGAATCACATCACGAGGCGGCAATCGTTACCGTCGGCTCAGAGCTTGATGAGGACGAATGGGCCCAGGCCGAGTCCAACTTTTCACGGTCTGCCCTTCAAACCGTTCAACTGCGGTGTCTCGCCCAATGGTAATCCGTTGTTTCTTGGCTGCACTCACTTGCATGGATCGTCGTCCGGCAATGTCAGTAGTACTGGCAGCAGTACGAGAATATCGACGCCAGCATCGACTCCTACGAGTTTATTGAGTACCGCCCAAGTGATACAACAATTACTGAACGCTCACAAAAATGGATTCAAGATCGACGAGGACAAATTGAAATTGTTCATCGAGATTCTTGATACGCAGGAACGATTTGCTAAGGTTAGTCTGCTCAGAAAAATTTCTCGATATAGAGATCGTACGTGGTACGAATTGTCAAATTGAAAAAAAAATTCCCTTAACAATGCTGACGTAGTCCTATAGCGTAACGAAATAATGCAATAAAATAATGTATGCGTGCCGCGGCTATATTGGTCCAGGCGTTATATACATATAGAGTTTCGGGGGCAAAAGTCATTTTCGCTTGGGAAAACGAAGCTTGAAGCAGGCGGCAATGGCATGCGTCGTGCTGGCCTCGCTGTTGGTTATGCGATCAGCCTCCGAGCGATGATCCTGCATCAGCTGCAGGGAGAAGGTAAATATGCCGGGCGCGCGCGCGCGCGGGCGACTGCCGATAAATAATCTACCTAAATTGTTCGCTGACTATATGCAACGACTGTACTCCGGGATACCTGTATCGATCGTGAATTATTAGAAGCGTTATTCCGTGAGTAAACCGGATAGCGCCTACCAAATATTGGATTTTGCATTTTTCTCGTCGTTGCTCGTAAGCTTGTCGCGTCAAAGCTCCGTTTGGTTGATGCTTGCTGCTGTGTGCGTATGCGTATATAGCGAGCAGCAGCTAACCCGTTAGACTGGATTATTTTATTCATCCACCTTTTTTTTTATTTCTTTGCATCTATATTGAAAATTTTCAGTATTATTTCGAAATTCATTTTAATTTTTTATCTTTTTTTTTCATCCAAAAATCTCAATGCGTTAACTGCGAGGATTAACATAACGTGCCAATTTTGTCGTTGAAATATAAATTTGACTAAATCCTCAGAGTATCAACAACGCATTAGTTATAAAATTTGAAAATTGTTTTGCGAGGAGGATAAGCATAAAAAAGAGCGAGAAAAAAGTATGAAAAAAAGTAAACGATTGCTATTCTTTACTGACGGGACACTTTTCCCATCAATCCTGCAAGAGTCCACTTTCTTGACGTCTCCATTTGCTGCCTACAGTTCAATTTGGTAGGTGCTCAACGCAACGCACGTGCTTGTAAATCTAAATCGAAAGACTTTTGCTGCTGCTAAATATTCAATTTATTGTTATTTTGCCCTCTGGATAGCATTTGTTTAGAAAATAAAATCCAAGAACTCCCTGTTACAAATCGGTAGCTATTTGCACTGTTTATTCGCGTGAATCTATGAATGCAATAAAAATAATTTTGCTTCTCCTTATTTTTTGTGAGAAGCATTATCGTACAATAAATCTAACCGTTCTTTTCCTGACAGGGATAAATATGCCAGAAAACAATCTGATAAAGTTATACTTAATAAGAAAACACGTGAATACATTTTCTTGTCGCATTTTTAGGTAAACTCACTACTACTTATTATACAGTACCGGGGATCACAAAAATGTTTTTTCAAGTTTTCTAAAGGATAGCTCCCCGTTTTCTTTAGTTGTTTTGTTGGATTTATTTTTACAATCCAAACAGCAGGTATGCTATTTTTCAGAATCGTCGCTTGTGCCTGTGTACGTACCACACGCACACACATTACTAAACCAGTTTATACAATAGATACACAAAAGTGTATGTGCACTGCGAGACTGCCTTGGCATATCGTCCGATAGAAATTCCGAGAGACGAAAATTCCCTTGGCACTGTTGATGCTCTTGTATTATATATCATATATAAAGGATGTATCAAAAATTCAAGGCGTTCGCGTGTAGGAAATTGTTGTGTTGTTAAAAAAAATTTATTTCTTGAAATAATCTGCCCGAGAAAATTGAAAAAAATAAAAAATAAAATATGTAAAAGGAAAATGCGGTTGTTTATCGTTTTAAATTAAATTTTTAGAAAATAGTATAAACATATTTTCCGAAAAATTGCATTCAATCAGACGTTCATAAGAAATTATGCCTAAAGGCGGAGAGTTAATTATTCTTGCCAAAGTCTAGCTACAACTGAAAATTTGAGCTTTTCAAGAACTACCGGTGGCTAGTTCGAAATCATCACAGAATACTTCTAGCTCCACTGGCTGGTCGCTGACATTTCTTATTATCGTTGTACACTGTGCAGACCATCATTGCAAAAAGTTTTCTCAAGTTTATTTGTTGAAATGTCTCTATTGGAGTCACTCGAAGTGAGCTTTGTGCTTTACGAGAGCGAGCCTTAGCTGCCAATATAATTAATGGTGCTTGAACTTTTCTCATTTCTGCCACTGGGATATATATTTTATTGTTGCTAGAAGAAAAGATGTTTTCACGGTACGCGCGCGGGTGGCGTCGCGAGTATAAAACGAAAAAAAAAATGATCGAATTGCGAGGGATCTCTTCCGGTCTTTTAACGAATCGAAAAGTCAAAATGTCGAGCTCGCTCGAGTTGAAAATTGAGGGTGTAGCGCGCACGCGTAAACGCGTATACACGCACTGTTTATGCTCGCGCGCGCATACTGGCGCGGGCCGGGAGCTTTATATACGTTCACGCATATACACGCATACATGTTGCAGTTATTATTATTTATCATGGTGATTAATTCCAGCTGCCACTGCTGCGGCAAGCCGCACACCTGCGCCGGCCTCAAACCGAACAGCCCCCCGAACGCACCAGAGCCACCCTCGACTCGCACCCCTTAATTTTCGCACTTTAAGCTGCATTCTGTTATGCGCTTCCATTTCATTTTGCGCGCCTCCGCTCCAAATATGACCGAACAAGCAGTATCTTCTCGCGAGTCGCGAGCTTCGCCCCCGCCGACATTTTTCATATTCGAGCTCGAATGGCATTCGCATAAAAATGTGCCATTTAAAATATGAAAATCACAGTCGAACGATCTATATACATAAATTACGTTTTTTTATTTACTGTATTTTCATTTTTATTTTTTTCCACTGCAGACACTGCCTGTCTATCTATATCGGCTTCGCTTTTAATTCTTTATAACTGCATATTTAATTTTTCAAGTACGCGTTAATGTCTGATGCTCCAATTGACTCCGAAACTAAATATATTCTTGTCGTTTCATATATAGTCGCGAAGTAAGATGCTGAACACTAGAGAGTCTTCATGGTTTTTCTGTAATTCGATAAAATTCCACCATCAAGTTTTAACATGCGCTCATCATAATATATGTGGCAGTAATAAAATATGAATGTGTCGAAGTCGAGTGAACACGGCGAGCGAGCGAGAGAGAGCGCGCGCGCGGGACAGTTAGCTTGAGTTATAATGCGAATTTCCCATGAGTGTCGTATCGGAACGTACGAGGCGCAGGGTATTATAGGAAAAGGGAGTGAGAGGTCGAAAAGGTGTATAGAATGAGAAACTCCTCTGCCTGCACTGCTGCTGCTACCCGAGTGATATCAGAGAAAAATATCAATATCATAATTAAATTTTACGACACTCTTTTGACTCTGTAATTGTGCATGCGATATTACAATGGCAGGCAAGCGACGGAATTCAGATTTTAATGGGCAACGTCGCAAAACGCGCGAGCCGGCGGCAGCGGCTTTATCGACTCTTGCAATAATGCGATAACGATGGCGCCTATATTACTAGCGCGCCGCTCCGAGATTTATATATGCACACCAGCGCGTTATAGCGTGACATTTTGCCGTGGACTCTTCTACAACGCACGCTTATATTATGCTTGCCGCTCGTACGCGGAGTTCGATGACTACGTATTCTGCCCATGGGCAGGATTCTGTGGATTATAAGATCGATGCGTACGCGCGCGCGCGCGAACTAAAAAAACACGAGCGTATAAACTATTCCAATTAGTTAGGGAATGTGGGACAGATTTAGCTTTAACTTGAGGCCAGATCTCAATTCGAATGTAACTTCTGCGAGGGTCTGCTTTTCGAGAGATTGGCTCGAGTAGGTTTCTACGTACTTGCGCGCATTTAGGATATATACAGATAGTATTTGTCTGATAAATTACGCGCTGCGCGCACGTGGCTCTCAAGAGTCGAGCAGAAAGTCCACTTGGTAACCGATACGAATAAATATTATAAATAAGTGCATTTACGCATTTATTGGAATAAAGTATACAAGAAAAAAGTAAAGCACGAAGAAGCATCTCGAAAAATTAAAAAAGCCTATACAGCGCTAGTTCAGCCACTGCACAGCTCTCTGCGCTTATACTATAGTCCGCTTCTAGATTACAGCTACGCACTAAACACTACAACTCTCGGCTCCGAGCATTTGAAACGGCTTGCGTCCATTAGTCAAGAGCAGCAGCAGCAGCAACAGCAGCTAGTACGCATTTTTCAAAACTCGCTTTCTCTATTAGCCGTGAATCAATAGCAAAATTAAGGTAATAATCAAGAGCACTACTGCTGCTGCACCGGTGCAGCTATGGGATAATGGCCCGATGATGGGTTCGCAACGACGCGTCTATCTCTATATAGTATAGGGCAGGGCACAGTGCAACAACGCACGTGCCGCATCGACTAACGCTCATGCGGCTGCTGCTGCTGCAACTGCACACTGTTACTGAACTTGTCGGGTACGCGCGCTCAGAATGCTTAATGTTAACGTTCATTTGCAACGGGGCGAATATCGCGCAGAAACAGAGGTGATCGTTCGTTCGTGTGTACATGCTGTATACGCACAGAGACAGGTATAAACACCTAAATTCACTACAGGCCGCCGATTGTTACACAATTGCACACCGTTTTACCCTTCGTATTGTATATATGAAATTATAGCGTCAATAATGGCTATATGCCTGTAAGACGTACGTTAACCCGTCGGTGGTCGCGCGGATAACGAGCTATCGTGTTCTCGCTTCGCAGACAAAACCGTATACACTACGTGCGGCAGTAGTCGCGCGCTAGTGGTATCGCGTAGATACCTTTATACGCGCATTTGAATGAAAGAGAGAGCTTGCTAGGAAAAAAGCTCCTCGAAGCTTCGAAGCAACAAGGTGGTCTATACACACGAGCACGGAAAAGGATGGGAGCGAGAGAGGGAGACGGAGGTATAAAGCGCGCAAAAGCAAAAGCGTCAGCGCGCAGAAAAGAACGACTCGACTCTTTCTCTCTCTCTCTCTCGC